TCTCTCTCTCTCACACACACACACACACACACACACACACACACAGTTTCTACCATTTTATGTTTTCATCTAACCCCTATGGGAGCATCTGCCACCTTTGGAGCCTTGTGGCCCTGCACCCACTGGGAAAGGTAAGTGCTGGGCCTTCTCCTGCTCCCCTAATCCCCTCATTGGAGACTCTTAACTGGGGAATGTAGCTCCATTCTGCCAGCTGAATTCCCAGATAACTGGGGGCAGCCCAAATCATCCAGCATCTGCCACCATCAGATCTTTGGCTCACACCCACCTGGAGAGCTGCCACTATCAGAGCCTTGGTCCCTCAACACAAGGATAGCACCAAAATACAATGGTTGGAAGAAGAGATGTGTAAGAGATGTATAAGAACACATTCAACAATGTAGGGAGTTATATGACAACAAAGGAGTCTAGGGATTCTACACCAGCAAGACCCAATCATCCCAGTGAAACAGAAGAAAACGATCTTAAAAACAACTTTATGAAGATGATAGAGGCCCTTAAAGAGGAAATGAGAAAATCTCTTAAAGAACTCTGCACTGAAACCATCTGGCCCTGGGCTTTTTTTTTTTTTTTTTTGGTTGGGAGACTTTTGATGACTGCTTCTATTTCAATTGTTGGCATTTTTAAAGCTAGTTGCCTAACTATAGGCAGTAATCAGTATCCCCAAATATACACCCTGCAAGTTGTAGGAGCCGGTCCACAAAGTCAGAATAAGATTCAGATGGTCCTTGAAGGACCTTAGAAAGTTGGTCTCTTATTGCCTTATTAGGTATGGCTTTCCATGTGCCGCCAGCAGCTGCTGAGATCTGCACATATACAGCTGGATCATAAAGAATTTGCTGACCTAGGTATGCATAGGCTCTCTTACCAACAAGCATTTCTGAGTTCCTTTCAGGGAAACCGGCAGCTGTGTTGTGCTGTGCCATTTGGTTGCATAGCTCCTGGATTTCCCCTCTCCAAATCAAATAATCTCCCCTGGACAGCACAGCTGGACACAATTGTTGCCAATCACTGGGAGTGCAATTCAAGGCCGTAAAGAATTAAAAAATGGTCAGAGTAAAAGGGGCATGAGGCCCGTAAGCCATGACTGCCTCTTTCAGCTGTTTAATATCCTTATAATTAAGAGGGGAATGCTCTTTCTGATTCTGGTCTTGGGGAGTAACTGTCTCTATGATTGGGAACATCACTGTGCCCCTCTGCTCTTCAGGAAAGGCCGAAGTAAAACAGAGAGCGCTAGAATTACGAGCAGGAGGACGTGGCTCAAGGGATCATTTTTTTTTTTTTTTTTTAGCTTATGTTTTAATTTAATGTCCCTTTCAAGTTCTTCACTTTCCTTAGTCTCACCCCCTGAAGACGAGGGAGAGGACCCAAAGGAAGTGTCATTAGAAGTTTGAAGTGACCTAACAGACTCTTGGTCCTGAACCTCTGCGAAGGCAGCCTTGGCTTCCTCAACCTGCTTTTTCACGTCCACAATATTACTAAGAAGTGCTTCTTTGACAAGAGGGCACAGAGAAAAAGTAACAGTTGGTATGGCATTCGGCCCATCTCTGTGTAATGTCCTTTGCAGGTCTATCCTCACCTGCTCCCCATCAACAATACTAAGGTCTCCAGAAATTAAAAACCAAGGGCTGGCCTCATGTACAGTTTTTAAAAAGTCTGTTGCTGTCTTGTACTTAATACTGGTGCCCTGCTTATTGGACAATTGGACCAATTGTTTCCCCATAAGAGACTAAGAACTAGCCATATCCATCTTCAATACACTCGTTCCTTACCTTAATGCTGGCAAGCCTTCCCGGGTGATCATTCAGTGTCTCCCCTTCCTTCCCAAATCTCGATGGGAACTCCAATTGTCATAATGGTCAGGGCTACAACCTTCTCATGGGTTCGGGTAAGGGAATCTGAAGATTAAATAAAGACAACACAGCCAGTCACTCTTGCAAGGAGAATGCCCTTTATTTCAAAGGGGAGTAGGCTTATATACCAACAGCAGCCACAGTATAAATTTACTCAGATCAAGGTCCATGTCCCCATGCCCCCCTCAATGGGAAGATTATTTCCATTCTTGCATACAGGCCTAGGTAGAAGGAGAGAACTAGGAAGTAAACACCTAGTCACGAGACAGACAGTGGGTCACCCTTAGTTATAAGAAGAACAGCATATAAGAAGAGGTCCTCGGGCTGGAGAGATGGCTCAGAGGTTAAGAACACCGACTGCTCTTCCAGAGGTCCTGAGTTCAATTCCCAGCAACCACATAGGAGGCTCACAACCATATGTTATGAGATCTGGTGCCCTCTTCTGGCATGCAGGTATACATGGAAGCAGAATGTTGTATACATAATAAATAAATAAAATCTTTAAAAAAAAAAAAAGAAGAGGTCCTCAACAGGATTTGTCTGTGTAGCCCTAGCTGTCCTGGATCTATCTCTGTAGATCAGGCTGCATTCAAACTCGAGGAGATCCACCTGCCTCTGCCTCCCAAGTGCTGGGCTTAGGTGTGTGCCGCCACCACCCAGCTAAAATGTTATGTATTTTTTATTTCATGAGTATTGGTGTTTTGCCTGAATGTATGTCTGCGTGAGGGTTCTGAGTCCCTTGGAACTGGAATTTCAGATGGTTGTGCATAGTTATTCCATCTACAGGGCCTGGAGCAATGGCTCAGAGGTTAAGAGCACTGGCTGTTCTTCAGAGGTCCTGAGTTCAATTCCCAGCAACCACATGGTGGCTCACAACCATCTGTTCCAGTGTGCTCTCCTAGTATGCAGGGCGGGCACATATGCAGGGAGAATGCTATAGACAGAGTGAATAAATAGATGCGTAAATAAATAAACAAATAAATAAATAAATAAATATTTTTAGAAAAAAATCCCTTCTACCTTGTGCCTCTGGGCTTTTCCCTTTCTCTACTCTCTATCTCTTTCCTTCTTACTCTGTTGCTGGTTATGAGGCTGGCCCCTGGTGTTCTCTCTCCTCCTTTTCTCCCCCCTCTCTTCTATTTATTCTCGCTGCCCCCAAGCCCTGTCTATCCCTCTCTCCTGCCTAGCTATTGACAGTTCAGGTCTTTATTAGACCAGTTAAGTGTGTTGGGCAGGCAAAGTAACACAGCTTCACAGAGTTAAATGCAACATAAAAGAATACAACACATCTTCAACTAATATCCCACAATAGCAGTGAGCTGCCATGTGAGTATTGGGAATTGAACACTGGGTCCTCTGCAAGAGGTGCCCATGCTCTTAATAGCTGAACCATCTCTCCAACCCAATAAAATAATGATTTTAAAAATTAGAAAAGAGGGGCTGGAGAGATGGCTCAGAGGTTACGAGCACTGGCTGCTCTTCCAGAGGTCCTGAGTTCAATTCCCAGCAACCACATGATGGTTCACAACCATCCGCAATGAGATCTGCTGCCCTCTTCTGGCATGCAGGCATACATGGAGGCAGAATGTTGTATACTTAATAAATAATAAATTCTTTTTAAAAAATTAGAAAAGAGGCCGGGCGTTGGTGTTGCACGCCTTTAATCCCAGCACTCGGGAGGCAGAGGCTGGCTGATCTACCAAGTGAGTACCAAGGACTGCCTCCAAAGCCACAGATACATCCTGTCTCGAAGAAAGAGAGAGAGAGAGAGAGAGAGAGAGAGAGAGAGAGAGAGAGATTGAGAGAGAGAGACAGAGACAGAGACAGAGACAGAGACAGAGAGATTTGATTACAGGGGCCAAAAAGGTGGTGGTGCAGCAGATAAAGGCACTGGCTATCAAGGCTGATGACAAAGTTCAACCCTCTGAGGAAGTTCAACCATTCATTACTCAGGAAGGAAAACATGATCTCCACAAGTATAACCACAAGTGCTAGGACCAAAGGCTTGAGACATATGCCAGTCTTGTTTGTTTTAGCCAATAAAAAGTCTTACTAAAAAGTACCTGTAGGGGCTGGTGAGATGGTTCCTCAGGAAAAGGTACCTGACAACCTGAGGTTAGTGCCTGGGGCCCAAACTGTGAAAGGAGAGACTCCTCCAAGCTGTCCTGGAACAATGCCCACGATGGGCTCTAGCATTAATTAGAAAAGACCCACAGGGTCTGGAGGGATGGCTCCAGCTGAGGAGCACTTGCTGCTGTGCATGTGCACAGGTATAGCCCACAAAATATTTTTGAGATAGGGTCTCATTGTATATCTCTAACTAACCTGGAATTTGATATGTAGACCAGGCTGGCCTCCAACTCACAGAGATCCACTTGCCTCTGCCTGCTCAGTGCCAGGATTAAAGGTGTGCCCCACCATGGCCAACACACACAAAATAATTTTTAAGTGCAATTTGAAAATCCTGTAAGTGCAATTTGAAAATCCTGTATATATTTATGTAATCAAATAGTGTAACATCATATTGGCACCTTGGACAGGTCTTTTTGTTTGTTCATTTGTTTATTTTTTAGATAGGGTTTCTCTGTGTAGCTCTGGATATTCTGGAATTCACTCTGTATAATAGGATGGCCTTGTACACACAGAAATCTGCTTGTCTCTATCTCCTGAGTGCTGGGATCAAAGGTGTGCACCACCACTGCCAGGCCTTGAACTGTTTGTTGCTTTTGTGTCCTACTTGCTTTCTTTTGTGGGTGGGTGTGTCCTGGGAATCAAACCCAGGACCTTACAAGCACCAGGCATGAACCCTGAGCTACACCTACAGCCCTTGGCTTTTTGAGCCAGAGCCTCACTATACACCCAGGCAAGTCTAATGGAACATCCTCCAGCCTCTGTCTACCATGTGCTGGTGGGTGTCACAGGTGTGTACCACATAGCTTCCTGAGAACACTGAACTCTGAATACAGGGGCAGAGGATAGATACCATGTCCCTAGGAAATCCCACCATCAGGCTTACTGGTTAGCTTTTACACAAGCTTAAGATCTGCCACCTCAGCCAGGCTGCCTGTGAAGACCTGGCCAGCAGCCACAGCATGAACCAGACCCTGACTGAGCTGGATCTGGGCCTGAATGACCTTGGTGGTCCTGGTGCTTCTGCTATGTGAGGGCCTCAGGCACCCAGACTGCAAACTGCAGGCCCTCTGGTGAGTGAAGTTCCTGATTCAGCATGCTTGACCTGTCTTCTCTGTCCATGGAGGCCATGGGCCCTCCCATTCCCTCACCAGCCCTAGCTACAGAATCTTGTTGTCAAGTTTTCCTGCCAAAGGGCCTTTACATACACATCACTGGCACCATTGAAATGGCTCTTCTGTTCTGCTGCACATTTAGTTTCCAGGGAGGTGCTGGAGAGATGACTCTGTGGTTGAGAGCACTGGATGCTTTCCCAGAGGTCCTGAGTTCAATTCCCAGTGACCACATGATGGCTCACAACCATTTATAATGGGATCTTGTGCCCTCTTCTGGCCTGCAGGCATACATGCCAGCAGAACACTGTATATATACATACATACATATGTATATATACATACATTTACATATACACATACACACCACACACACACACACACACACACACACACACACACACACACACACACACACACAAATAAATTCTGGGGGAAGATTGGTTAAACTTTCAGGTCTTAGAACAAATACCACTGACCAAAGTGTACCTTCTGTTCTATTTGGCTTTCTGTTACTGCGATAAACAGCATGACCAAAGGCGACTTCGGGAAGCAAGAATTTATTTTATCTTACAGGTTATATAGCTCTTCACTGAAGGAAACCAAGGCAGAAGCCTGAAGCAGAAAAAAAAAAAAACACAGAAATTTGCTGCTTACTTGTTGGTTCCCTGGGGCTTGCTCTGCTAGCTGCTTTTATATAGCCCAGCCCTACTGGCCCTGGGATATACTAACCACAACTGGCTCCTGCAACAAATAACCATCAAGGATTCTCTGTGTAACAGCCCTGGATGACCTGCAACTTGCTCTGTTGACCAGACTGGCCTTGAACTCTGAGCTATCCCCCTCCCTCTGCCTCCTGAGTGCTGGGGTTAAATGTGTGCACCACCACAGCAATGCCCCTTTCTTCTTTTTTTAAATTAAAAAATTTGACAAATGTGGCTTTATGCCTGCATATATGCTTTTGACAAAGCTCATGCCTGGTACCCACAGAGTACAGAAGACAAGTTTAGATTGCCTAGGACTGGAGTTGCAGCCAATTGTGAGCTGCCTGGCCCTTGCCTTCAGTCCTGTCTTCCTCTCTGCCTTCTTCCCTTGTCTCTCTAAAAGGTAGGAAAGGCCATACCCCTGCACCCAGCATACAAATTTGGCATTTAAGCCCAGCCCTGGTGACCTAACATAAAGGCATGGGACAAACTCACCTTGGTCATCCCTTCCTCTAGGTTGGGCATTTGCCAGCTGGGCTTAGATGCATGTGCAGGGATTGCCTGTGGGCTCCAAGTCAACACTTGCCTCCGAGAACTGGACCTGAGCTTCAAGGACTCAGGAGGCAGGGGTCTATGGCTGTTGGGGTACCTAAGGTACCATGGCCTGCAGACCTGAGTGTTTTGCTTAGGAGGAGGAGGATAGGAGTAGCGTGGGGATGCTAATGGAGTCATGCACCACTACATACTGGCTGCTTAAGTAGAAATTTTAAGGCCAGCCTCAGCTTTATAACTACTATTAGGCCAGCGTGGGTTATGGGAGATGCTACTTCAAAAAACAGAACAGAAAACAAAGATGGCTATTTTCATTCTAAAAGCAGGAAACACATAAACATAACTGAGCCAGGGAGTGATGGCTTGAGCCTTTAATCCCAGGACTCGAGAAGCAGAGGGAGGAGGATCTCTGTGATTTCCATGCCAGCCTGGTCTACACAGCAAGCTTCAGGACAGGCACCAAATCTTACAAAGAAAAACCCTGTCTCAAAAAAACAAAAAACAACAACAAAAAAAGAAAATGTGGTATCTCAAGTTCCTGCTCCTGCCACCATGCTGCCATAACTCCCCACATGAGTGGAGAATCATGCAAAAATCAACCCCCCATTAGACACACATACACATACATACACACACAGGTGACAAACCTTGGGGGTGTTTAGAAACTGGTTGTAGAATATGGCATGTATTAATTTGGGCATTTTCTTTTCATCTATGAGTATGTGCATCTGGGCTTGCAGTGTCCACAGAGGCCAGAAAATGGCATCAGATGCCCAGGAGTATCAGTTACAGGATGTTGTGAACCAACTAAACCAAACTTGGGAACCAAACTTGGCTCCTCGAAGAGCAGTCTTAACCACTTAGCCATCTCTCCAGCTCTTGCTATTGGGATATTAGGTTTCTATTATCTGTTATTATACTGGCTACACTCTCAGACTCACCCTGCTTCACAACAGTGCTGCTCTGTCTCTATCTACATATCCCCTACCCCTTATCCCCAGACAGGGTTTCCTGTATGTATCCCTGGCTATCTTAGAACTCAGAAATCAGCCTTCCTCTGCTGGGATTACAGTGTGAGCCATCATGTCTGTCCTTCCAAACCCACAACCTTATCAAGCTTCAGGCACTGGACTCACTGTTTAGAGAAGTGTTCCCTGGGGACAGAGAAGCCCTGAGGTCAGGGGGCTCCCTAACTCTACTCTTCCAGACCAAATGTGGCTCCAGACTAAAATGAGGAACAATGTAACAACAGAAGGAAATCATTGATCCTTGCCTTCAAACCACAAAGGAGATCCAGTCTATAACAACTCACATTTTTATAACAAGTCTCTGCCTCCCAAATGTTTACTTATTCTGTGTAACCTGGGCTGATTTAGAATTTAGCATTGTAGATTATGTAGCCTTGAACTCAGAGATTAAGCTGCCTTTGGCCACCAAGTGAAGCTAATTAGGATTACCTGTGCGAACATGACAGGAACACTATTTGCTGAGGGCTATACCACTCACTAAGGAAGTTGTCCAGCAACCACTGGATGGGCTCATGACAGTTTCCTTTAAACCCTGTCACCTAAGGTAAAATCCTCACCTCAACTCCCTGAAAAGACCACCTCACCCACCTTAGCTTGTCCTCTGCAGGCTGGACAGCTGTGGCCTCACAGCCAAAGCAGGTGAGGACCTTTCTTCCATTCTGGGAACCAACCAGACCCTGAGTGAGCTTTATGTGACCAACAATGCTCTGGAGGACACAGGTGTCTGGATGCTGTGCTGGACGCTGAAACATCCAAGCTGCAAACCTCGAGTCCTGTGGTGAGAGATGGACCCCAATTTCTTGGAGGAGAAAAGGGGATTCAGGAATGCTGGCCTCAGATTTGGGGGTAGAAATTCTAAATGATTGAGATGCATTAAACATTGGATAAATGATGCTGAAGAGACAGATCAACAGTTAAAAGCACTCGGTGATCTTACAGAGGGCCTGAGTTCAATTCCCAGCATCCCTGTCAGGTGGCCACATTCACCTGTAATTCTAGCTTCCAGGATCCAACTCCCTTTCCTGGCCTTGATGGTCATGACTCCACCTCACATCCCTAGACAGGAACATATGTAAATAATAAAAATAAAATAATATAAAGTGTGTAGCAAAAGGAGAACTATTGCACTCATAGAATTGCTTGTAATATTTGAGACCAGTACTTCTGCAGGATGCTAGCTGGGGATTAGACTCCTCAGGTAGTTCAAACTTTCCATCCTCCTGCCCCAGCTTCCTGAAACCTGGCATTGCAAGCATGGAGAGTTTGTCATTACTTCCTGTTCTTTTGCTGTTTTTTTCTTGAGGTAGAGTTTCTCTGTGTCTTAGGAGGCTGTCTGGAACTAGCTCTTGTAGACCAGGCTGGTCTCTAACTTACAGTGACCTGCCTCTGCCTCCTGAGTGCTGGGATTAAAAAGGTGTGGGCAACCAATGCTAGGCTTTTGCTTTATTTTTATAAATATTTATTTATTATGCACACAGTATTCTGCCTGCATGTATGTCTGCACACCAGATGAGGGCACCAAAGCTTTTATAGATAGTTGTGAGGCACTCAGTGGTGGTTGGGAATTGAACTCAGGACCTCTGGAATAACAGCCAGTGCTCCAACCTCTGAGCCCTCTCTTGTTCTTTTAAATGAAACCAGTCTCAGCTGGCATTTAGGAGTTCTGAGTCTGTTATTTACCCACTGGAGATGCTTTCCACACCATTCTATCTGCATCTGTAGATGAGAATACAACTAGGAGTGTCCTGTGGTTTTTTATTTATTCATGTCTAAAGACACTCAAGATTGTGAGTAAGGAGCCCAGAGTGGTTGGGAACATGTTTGATCCCAACACATGGAAGGCAGAGGCAGGTAGATTTCTAAGAATTCTACACCAGCCAAGGCTGCTGCCACCACCACCTGGCCCATGTCACCTACTCTTAACCAATCCCCGAACAGCCAAGGCACATACCACCCTTCTTGCTGTTGTTTCCTTTAAACAGTTCCGTCACAACTGAGGCATGCATTTGCATCAGTGAGTCAGCTCTTTGGTGGTCTCTTTTTGAGGTCTCACAAACTTGGCATAACAATTCCAAGCCTGCCAAGGCAGCAGAGAGACCCTATCTCCAACAAGCAAACTGAACTTTGGGAGTAAGGAGGCTGGAGATGGTAGGCACTTGTTGCTCTTGCAGAGGTCCCAGTTTCCAGATTCACAACCTGTACCAGGGGATCCAACTCCAGTTCCAGGACATCCAAACACCTCTGATGACCTCCATTGGCACTGCAATATGAGGTTCAGTCATGCATGTGTGCAAAATACTCATCCTAAGACAAAACTACAGGGCTGGAGAGCTGGCTCAGCAGGTTAAAGCATCTAATGCCACGCTTGATGACAGACTTCACCATCAGAACCCTCGTGGGTGGAAAGGAAAACATCTGTAGGTTGATCTCAGGCCTCCACAGCACATCATGTCGAACAGTATTAAGAGAAAAAGCACACACACAAACAAAACCCCTAGCTGGATCCCAGCTTCACAGGAGGCTGAAGTAAGAGAATCCCAGGTTCAAGGCCAGCCTGAGCAACTTAGTGAGGCCCTACCTGAAAATGTGAGCTAGGGGGATGGTTTGGCAGTAGAGTGTCTGCTTTCCTAGCATCCCCAGAGCTGTAAGTTCCAACACTGCAAATTAGTGTTTAAGTTTTTGCATTTACCTGTGTTTCTGAATTGCACAGTTGTTATAATCAATCCATGTTAGGCTTCAGTGAGATCCAGCCAACTTGTCAGGTTCATACCTGAGGGGGAGAATAGATTGAGAAATGGCAGGTAAAGACCCTTAAGAAAAAGAGACACAGGATAGAGTCAAGAGGGCAATCAAGTGCATGAATACTGGACTTATTAAGTTTATTCTTCAGCATTCTAAAGTACTCTAACCAAAAGGGGAACATGGCAAAAGACTTCTTTATCATGCATAAGGAACAAACACACTTTCTACCTTAATCCACCAAACATTTGATAACCATACCTGAGACTCATCTTCTCCTTATGGGGCATGAGGGTCAAGAGTAACCACACCTCAGACCAAGTCTGTAGTTATTTAAGTAAGATATTTAAGACTAAGATCAAACATCCTATAGTAGCCATGCCTTAGAACCTTATGACTTTAACCTTGGAAGACTAAGGACAGTTTTATACTCTTGGACCTTGGGTCAAGATGAAGCATAGCCATCTCTGGGCTCTGACAGAGAGTACTTCTACAAGTCTGAGGCCACCTTGAGATCACTGCTCTCCTGGTACCAAACACTGCAGAAAAAGCCTTTCTCCTTGGTTATCTCTGTTGCTCTTGCCCTTGAGATTTGTATTGTTGTGGTTAGAGTGTTGGCTCAGTAGTTAAGAACACTGGCAGCAGACTGAGCATTGGTGGTGCAACCCTGTAATCCCAGCACTTGGGAGGCAGAGGAAGACAGAGCTCTGGGAGTTCAATGCAAGCATGGTCTATAGATTGAGTTCCATGACAGCCAAGGTTATACAGACAAACCCTGTTGGAAAAAATCCAAACAAACAAACAATAGAAATGTTAATGGTTAATTGTGTGTGTGTGTATGTGTGTGTGTGTGTGTGTGTGTGTGTATCCACATGCATTCAGGTGATATTGGCCAGAAAAGGACAGCTGATCCCTTGGAGCTAGAGTTAAAAGTGGTTGTATGTGGAACTGAACTCTGTCCCTGTGTAAGACTAGGAAGCACTCCATACAAAACTAATGAAAACAATATTTGAAAAACACGCTATGGGGCTGGAGAGATGGTTCAGAGGTTAAGAGCACTGACTGCTCTTCCAGGGATCCTGTGTTCAATTCCCAGCAACCACATGGTGGCTCACAGTCATCTACAATTCAATCTGGTGCCCTCTTCTGGCACGTAGGCAGAACACTGTATACATAATAAATAAATCTTGAAAAGAAAGAAAGAAAGAAAGAAAGAAAGAAAGAAAAACAGGCTAAAAGACAGGGTACCATGATGCTGTTTTTGTAGTCACCATAGTGATTGTCCCATGTTTGTCCACAGGCTATTTGGAGTATACCTGAAAAAAATGACCCGCAGGAGGCTGGCAGCACTTTGACCCACAAAACCGTACTTGGATATTGGGTGCTGAGCAGGGCTGCGGCATCAGAATGGAGGCCACCAGGACTTTTATTTCCTCTGACAGCTATGATCCAGCGCTTGAGAGACATTACTTTGTGTGTGACTTTGGCTTTTCTCTGTGTAACAGTCAAGGCTGCCCTGGAACTCCACAAAAATCTGAATATTGGACATTTCAGTCAGTCACTGTAACAAGACACCCACCTACTGGCCAAAGATTGTAACTGCAGGTTAAAATAAGGGCAGAGGACACTTATTTGGATGAGGTGGGGATATCATATTAAAGACAAGGTAGCCTTGGCTACCTACAACTTGCTCTGTAGACAGCACTGTCCTCCTCCTCTTAGTTCTGCTTGCCTCTGCTTCTCTAGACCCACAAATATTTGCAGTTTCCAGAGGCAATTCAAGCAGTAACTCAGAATCCTTGCAGATATATGAATGGGGACCAATATTTCCCTGCGCAGCCAATTCCTTAGAAATTTGTCTGTTTAGCTGGGGGTTGGTAGCACACTCCTTTAATCCTAGCACTCGGGAGGCAGAGGCAGGCCGATCTCGGTGAGTTCGAGACCAGCCTGGTCTACAAAAGCTACAAAAAACAGTCTCCAAAGACACAGAGAAACCCTATCTGTAAAACCAAAAAAAAAAAAAAAAAAAAAAAAAAAAAAAAAGGAAAAGAAAAAAAAGTTGTCTGTTTCCTACTTCACAATTCAACATTGTAATCACACTGGGAAACTGTACACAAGAATGAACAGAAGCACAAAATATCCCAAGTTGGTTGGGGCTGTAAACCAAGGTTCCAGAGGCAGTATACCTAGAAAGATCCAGGACTGTTTGTATCTGCTATCCACACAGATGAGGTCTCAACACATGGAGAGGGCAGGACACGTGGACCAGCTGGAAGACTGGCTGCCTAGCTAGCATGCATGAAACCCGGGAATACATTCTGTCCTAAGGAGCTATATAGATTGCATGCCGATGGTTAACATCTGGGCTGTGCATTGTGGCTTGTGCCTTTATGAACCAAAGGAAGGTCATTCAAGAGCAGACAGAGCTACAGGGAGGCCCAGGAAAATGAAGCAATTCGTGAAGGGTGACAGACTTGAGAGAAGCTGGGTTTGAACTCCAGGACCTACATGAGTATGCGCCCGGCACTTCTCGTTGCCCGAGCTCTTACCAGGCCCTGTGTACCTCTACTACGAGCTGTCCAACTTCTACCAGAACAACTGGCGCTACGGAGTGTCCCGCGACGACGTGCAGCTCAGCGGCCTGGCCAGCGCGCTGCGCCACCCCGCCAACGAGTGCGCCCCCTACCAGCTCAGCGTCACCGGCCTGCCCGTCGCGCCCTGTGGCGCCATCGCCAACAGCCTCTTCAACGACTCCTTCACTCTGTGGTACCAGCGCAGGCCCGGAGAACGCTACGTCGAGGTGCCTCTCGACCGCACCGCCATCGCCTGGTGGACCGACTACCACGTCAAGTTCCGCAACCCGCCCCTGGTGAACGGCAGCCTGAAGCTGGCCTTCAGCGGCACGGCGCCACCGCCCAACTGGCACCGACCGGTTTACAAGCTCAGTCCAGATCCCAACCAGGACTTCCTGGTGTGGATGCGCACAGCGGCGCTGCCCACCTTCCGCAAGCTGTACGCAACTACTCGGCCCGCCTGCCCCGGGGTGCCTATTTTGTGAACATCACCTACAACTACCCGGTGCGCGCCTTCGGCGGCCACAAGCTCATCATCTTTAGCAACATCTCATGGATGGGTGGCAAGAACCCTTTCCTGGGCATCGCCTACCTGGTCGTCGGCTCCCTCTGCATCCTCGTGGGCTTTGTCATGCTGGTCGTCTACATTCGCTACCAGGACCAGGATGACGATGACAACGATGACGAGTGATGCTGCTTCCCAAAGACCCCTTTCTGCTTCTTGGCCAAGCCGCTTTTTGCGGTGGTCCTTTGCTCCTTAACACAGCAACTTCGAGCTCACCGATTGCCTCTTGTGGACGAAGGGCCTAGAGAAAGGAATCACCTGCTTCCTCTTTGAGATAAGACACTGTTGTCGGCTTTTGGACTGTACAATGCCAGATCTTGTGATCTCTCCCCATCTCCTTCATGGCTTACCGAGTTGACATGTCAGGTCTATAGCATTCCAGAGCAAAGGACGCGGGATGTATCTGAACAGAAACTAGTTAAGACCAGCAGCCAGCAGTTGGATCCTAACTCTAAGATTCTGTTCCTTCAGTAACACGGATTTCTGGGAGGGAGGTATAGATGACTAGAGAGTTGAGATGGAGAGTAGTGCCCACTGATGGCCTACAGAAACTTGGAGGAGTGGGGAAAGCATATTTGTTAAAAATTTAAGTCGATGAAAAGCGTTGAGCATTTCAGGTTCTGACCCAGGAAGGCCAGGATGGGCAGTCTTCACTGAAAAGTCTGCCTTTCCTGAAGAGCCTCTGTGCCCTTGAATTTGAGAGTCTTAAGCCAGGCTGGGCCTGAAGCACTCAGGTTTTTCCAGTAATAATCTGTCACCGGGAACAGTGACAATTTCAGTGCTCAGGTTTGGTCTTAAACATAGGAAGCTTCCAATTTGTGGAATGAATGAGAAAAAGTGCTAGCTCTAGGAAAGTAGCATGCAGATCTACAGGGCAGGAGTGTGCCAACTCGTAATTAAATGTAAAAGCAGACTTCACAAGACACTGTAAAAGCTTGAAAATGCAAGGTGAGTTTGCATGGCTGGGGGGCGGGGGGAGTGCACTGATGTGCAAATGATCTCAGGAGGAAGCTGTTTTCTTGGGACCCTGAGTGTCTCTTGCCTCTTTGCTCAGTCACTCTTGAATTGTCATCTTTTTTTTAATGCTTAAGAGGATAGTTTAATTCGTTCATATCATTTTCACGAGGAACTATCTTAAACACAGTTTTAATTTATTCACAAAGGAAATCCATTTCTAGTGATTATGTTTAAAGAATGCCAAGCGCGATATGCTTATATGCAAAGTAGACTCAGGATTATTTCAGCCTTAATGTTAAAATCATTCAGTCGATTTTATTTGATTGCCCACAATAGATATGAAGCTATATGAATACAGATACAATAAAGGGACATTTTTAAACTTTAAAGCCCTCCTTTTATGTAACAGTAACATAAAAGAACTTAAAAATAAAATTTCCCATGATACCATCTTCTAGGTTCCCTGAAGAAAACAGCTCCTTGGTATTTGTCAGGGTCTTCTGATCCTGGCTCCCCCGTGCAGTTAGTTTCAGGTTATAGGTGTATTTCATTCCTCAAAGGCAGTACAATCTTGAAGTATGTTTTATTTTTATGGCAGTCAAATGTTGAGTTATATTGAATAATTTTCATCCATTCCTTTATTCTTTTTAGTCGATATTGTTTTGAATGCACAACATGTCTGTCTAAGATTGTCTGGGTCAAAAGTGACTTATAATCTTGTCTCATTTTTATGTATATCAGAAAATTCTTTAATAATTCCAGTGTGCTGGCTTTCTGACTTCTGGAGATGATAACATTTAATATTGGATTACATACTGAGATTTTTGACTATGAAAAGCTGATCATTACATGTACTTTTAGAAAGTTTTATTTATTATGAATGCTTGGTTGACCAGCTCTTCTGTGTCAGCTAAGGAAGTTTGCTACATTTTTTTCACTAGATAGTTGAAGGTAACTGTATTTTGCTATTATTTGTAGAACATTAGTCTTTTGTTATACATTTTAATGTGAGACCATGAAACTTAAAGCCCTGTGATTAAATTGTAGTTCCAGGCCTTGTTTCCTAGGTTTTTGAAAGAGAATAAAGGTTGTGTTTGTCTTTCTCCATTAAAAAAGAGAAATTATTTAAGGAATATACTGGCTGTGTGATTGTATTTTACTTAAATGCTAGTATCCTATTCTAAGGACTGGTATTTTTTTTTTTTTTTGGTTTATGGTATTTACTTTTAGAGAAATGGTATAAGAAATATCTAATGTGCTCTAATACAAGGATGTAGTCTCTGGAGCACATGGCCATAAGGCCTGTGCCAACTATATTTTTGAAATTATAAATGAATCATATTCACATTGTCTTTTCTGCCTCCAAGCCCAATCAATTCCCCATTGTTTTCTGATCTGTGGCCTCTTTTTCTTTAACCCAGTTTCATAGTAACTACAGTTAGTGTGTGAAAATGAGCTGTAAGGACTGTCCTGTCTGAGTCATAGGGTGGCCCTAGCCAATGTGGGTTTTTTTGGGGGGGGTGCATTAGCAGTCAGGAATACTAGTGTTAGGTAAATTTTGGGTTCTTGCCATGTTTTCTTTTGCCTTTGCCAAAATGAGTTGTAGGAAAGACTACAAGCTATACCATGGTGAGAATATGATGTTCAGAGCATGTCTGTTGAGCTATCATTTCATTTATTTATTTAGTTATTGACTGCTTGTTTTTCAAAACAGGGTTTTCCTGTGTAACAATCATAGCTGTACTGGGACTCACCTTGTAGGCCAGTCTAGTATGAACTCACAGAAATGTTTGTGTGTCTGCCACCCAAGTGTTGGTATTAAAGGCATGTGGCACCAGCTTTCAATTCTGTTGAGACAGATTTCAGGTCTGCTGTCACTTTACAGCTTGCTGCCACATGCACAGGCCCTAGTATGGAGTAGGGGTGTGTGGGGTGCTGTGGGGGTGGGGGTGGTGAGTGGGGGGTACTTCACTGTTATTCTTAGATACTGAGATCTTTGTTTTAAGTTTCTCAGTCGATGTAGAGGGTATTATAGGTAAAATGAACAGGATATTACAGGATATATTTATCTCAAAATTTCATGTAAGTAACTGTATGGAGATGCCTCAAAAGGGTGAGAATAGGGACACACTGAGCTTTCTGTCTAGAACTTGTGGCATCATTAATGTGCTATTCTGTCCGCAGTGGCAGTGACCCGGATAGGGAATGTGCCTGTGTTTGTGGCTGGGGATAAGGCCATGAACCCTGTACAGTGGAAGCAAGCATAGGCTCAGTTCTTTCCTCGAAGGCAGAGCTGGCCTGAGGGCATGGGGCAGGGGCTGCTTGGCATACATAGGTAAGGCATTGTTAGAGCTATCAAGGGTCTAGCAGTGGATTTAAATAAGAGAACCTCAGAACAAGTAATATTTAGCCTTGGAGGCGTTGAATGATGGAGGCTTTGGTTGTGTATGAAGTGTGGGGCAGTTGGCTGCCTTTCTCATGTTCTATTAATGGAAAAATATGCAAAAGTTGAAAGAATAGCCAAGTGAACTTCTATATCCCCAATATCCATTTCAACATTTATGAAGACATTGAAAAGTCTGTTTTATTTATATCTACACTCAGTGTACCTACCACTGGGTTAGTTGGAAGCAATTCTTAGTCTCATAATCTGTATATGAATATTTCAGCATGCTGGCTGATTTTAAGAGAAACCAAACCATAATACCATTATCCAACCTCCAAATCTGTGTGAAATTTCGCCAACTATTTACCCCAGTGCTCAGCCTGGTCTGTCTCCTCTGTGCCTGGCTGCATTTGCCCATTGTAACATTTGATACCATGGTGGGAGCCAGACTTGCATTCTTAACACATCCATTTAAGTTTGGAGTCAGTTACAGGGACGAGGGAGATCATCAGTCTCCCTGATGGTCAAATGATAAACATGGCAGCTCAGGCCAGAGCTGGAGACATGGAGGCAATGAGGAGACCAGGTCACAAGCAGAATATGGGTCCTGAAGGGCTATTGTAGAGCAAAGGGAAGCAATAAGAAAGACATTGCTACATTGGGAGAGCTGAGGGCTATGTCTCTTGACCTGCTGCCTCTAGTGAATTACAAGTGGTGATTGGAGGATAGTCAGGGGCCCCTGCTCCTCTGATAATCTGGGGCTGTTCACCATTTCCTGCTGTGTGACATCCTGTGAACACTGAGTTACATGGCTGCAACAATGTGGAAAAGAGAAGCAGCTTATTGAGATGTTGTAGGCTTGGTAGCAGCTTTCTGTGCCATGAATTTTCCTGGCTGAGGCAGGAAAATCTGAGACAGAATGACTTACTCAAAAAATCATATCTGTTTTTCTTGCTTTTGATCTGTCATTTCGTCCTTCTCATTTTCCATTGAAACATCACCAAGAAGTACTCCTGAACATCAAGTTACACACTCAGGATGCATGAAGGAATAGAGCAGATAAAGCCAAATTAGAGAGCTATGCATTCACACAAAGACTAAAACATCAGGTAGAGGAAGGAATCTGGACCAGTTGCCTTAGAGATTAGCCATAGGCAGACAGCATAATCTTTGTCAAGTGAATGCATTTATTTTAGACAAAGCTGATGTTTTTCTCCAATGACATGGTGAAGGCAGAGAATTGGTGCCTAGGCTGCAGAGATGCCCAGCCCTTCTTACAGCACAGTAAATAAGGATTGCTTACCCAGGATGGAGCGAGCAATGATGTGAATTGCTTTAGATTCCTCCTGTTTGCTTGACCTAGAAGGTAAGGAGGAGGCAGGAACCACTGTCAGCTGGGACTGGAACACGAGCAGGGGTATCTGAATCTGGAATGTTCCAGTGGAGGAGGCAGAGCCAGTCAAAGGCCATTCTAGCACTTGCATATTCCAGGCTTCCAGGAAGCTTGCTCTTTCCAAAAGGCCTTTCATCCTTATTGTCTACTCCCAAACACTTGTCCCTCCAGCCTGTGTCCATGTTCTGAAGAGGACTTGGTTGATCTTCTTTTTGTTGAGAACCTGTCTTCTTACCACTAGAATGTAAAAGCATAGGAGTGAGAACTTTTTAGTTTTGCATCTGAAGTATTAGTATTTCACAGCCATAAAACATAAATTTGTATACATGTAAAATACTTATACAATATATAGAATCGTGTGTAATGTACAGTAGTATGTAATGACATTGG